TGAAGGGAGAGAATGATAAACTTCTCTCCAGTCTTCAGGGAGGCTAATCCTCCATCTCCAGTGATATTAATTTTATTTATGGCTCCTCTATCTAAATAACCAAACAAATATACACACTTAGATGTCTGTTATTCTTCATAATTAGTTCACACACTGAAACCCTGTTTTTAAAATGTTTGAAAAGCTGGAAAACTTGTAAGGATGTTTCTAACTTTTCCAAGCATGCATGTTCCATCCATGACAAAGAACCCGTTTCTGGGAGTTTTGTTCATGCAAAAGATGAAATAACAATAAAGTAATACTAAATGCAAATTAAGTAACAATGGACATAAACAAAGCCTTTTTCTCCATAATGACCCTAGATTTCTATTTGGAAAGCAAACATGCACCTGAGGAAAGCAGTGGTGGTTGCACAATGTATCACATCTTCGCATTCTCATATCATTTCATATCTACTAGTTTGTTGAAGAACAAGTGCAACATGAGCAAAGTTATAATTAAAGAATAATATGCTAAGGAAGATGGATTTTCTTGTAAGGTGACTAGGGTTAATAAAATAAAAAGCAAAAATCACAGCAGTTTCCATTTTTACCTTCTTTTAAAGAAGGAAAAGTACCCACACAAAACTGTCACGCCAGTCAAAGTTGTATGAGGCTGATATTCTCTTTAATGATAACTGGAATTATAAGACATATCTTGTTGTGTTGCTTTTACCAGTTAGGTATTGCTCTAGTCTCTTTTTGAGTTTCTCCTATTGTCAGGTGCTGTGATGCTACAGTTTTTCATGCCCCAACTGGGCAAACCCACCTCAAACAAAACCTCTTTAGCAGTACTTTTTCTCATACTCATTACTCACAGAAAAATCTGTAAGTGGCTGGCAAAAATATGAGTGCAGGTTTTGTAAATTTATTCAGACGAAAAATAAAAATATTCTACACTGCCTATCCCTAGGAAGTACAGATAAATAATGAAGAAACCATAATGCAAATACTGTATCTCACATATGCATGCATGCAAATCAAAGAACAACTTTCATGCAAATTAGATAATGCCCTTCTAAATTTACTTAACTAAGATATACATGTTGCCTCTGAGGAAAAACAGAGAAATTATTCCACTAATACCATGACTGTCCAAGGCATCTTCAAAGCATAAAGAAAGAAAGAAGAAGAAAACTGGAGAGGGAACAGAATGGCACAACACCAAATTATTTTCTGTAACAAAGTAAAAGACAACACAGCGCTTAGAAAATATGAATTGCAAATGGAGTCCCCAAGCCAGAAGAATTCTGTGGACTGCTACAAAGATATGATGATCATCAAGATCTGTAACACTGTCTTCCATACCCTTGGAAGGAACAAGGTTGAAGAAAATAAAAACATGCTAAACAACGCTAGGGACTGTCAAAGAGACAGAAACCAAGTAACAAGAGCAAAAGAAGAAAGCACAGTTCAAGCTGTAATACACAAAAAGAAGCCCTCCAGTAAGGGTGAAAAATTGCCATAATAAACAACAGAGAAAATTCTTCATAAATCACAAATTCATTGAATCAGTAAGAACACACGGAATTACAAATCTTATCACTCCTTGTCTGATGTATTTGTCTTCATCAAAAGCAGAATAAATTCATTTTTTTTTAAAACTGCAAAAAACTAATGGGAAAGACAAACGTAAAGTGATACAATCACTCCTAATTTTATAAAGTTAGGACTGACAAAGTAAATAGCTGAACTGAACAACTTCAGAAACAATGTGAAGCCGTTTCAGAACTCAAATCAAAATGCTATCTTCAGTTAGGAAGTTTTAAAAGCCCATACTTGTCCAAATAAATTTTAAAAAAGGCTAAAAACTATGCCAGGAAGCTCTAGTGAAGAGTTTAAAGAGAGACATGGGCAAGAATATATCCCCCTTTATGGCACAGCAAGAAAATCTGAATTGCTTGTAGTTGCTTTAAACCTGTTTTCCCTTTTTTAAATCAACATCTTGTCTACTTTGACTTGCCTCAAAACCTGATTTAACAGGTATGAATACCAAAAGTTTTCTGACAATCATGTGGACAACTAAAGAAAATACAGCATAAAAATTATTTACTCTTAATTCTTCACTTTGTTACACCTACACGAGAATGTGGACATTGCTGTACTTAGCAAAAAAATTCAGCATTTTAAGAAATTGTTTTGCTCTTGTTAGTATCTATTGCATTCTATGAAGATGTGTTATGAAAAAAAAATTAAAGTTTCCATTTACTGATGTAGTGTATCAGTCAGAAAGATCTTATGACCTTCCAAAATCAGACATCAGCAAAATTCAGAAGAAGTCCATGATTAAAGCAATTTCCATCACCTTTCTGTCCCAGAGGATAGAAGTGTTAAATCAGGACATTTAAGTGCACTGTAGTATACAGAAATTATCAGTACCTACCATACTTTAAAAAAAAACAAACAACATAATTGCCAAAGATAAATCCACAACTCTTCAATTTCATAATTTTACATGATTTGATGAAATTCTACCTCACCAAAATCTTCTGTACCACTGGCATGCCTCATCTCATTGCTTAAAACACCAGGAGTAAAAAGCCTTCCTGCTTTCTACTCACACATGCAACCTACTAAGCACTGTATTTAAGAAAATGGGTATGAATCATAGTTTGCTTTCTATCATATGCTCCAGGTCACAGATAAGCTGAGGCACTAGAAGTCTCCTCTTCTACTTCTTCTGGGAAAAATTCATTAAATTCTTCATCACAACTGTGTTGATACGCTCCCTTCTACCACTCAACACAATCACAGGCAGCAGAGAGAACCTCCCATGATTATTAACCATTTCAGGGCAATAATGTTACAGTTGAATTAGCATGTGTCTGAACATTTGAGTTTTAGCTGTCCAAAGATTTACATTTTTCTGAACTTGACATCATGGAAGATCATGAGATACCACCACACAGCCTTGGTGCTAAATTTAACTACTTGTCAAAAAATCTGTCTTCTAGATTTATGAGTAACTGTGGTTATGATGTTTGACTGACTGAAGCTGAGACATGCCTGTGTTAAGGAAAAAGCTACAGGGTACTGCCTGACTGATAAAGGACTCCTTTCAATTCTGCAGACATCAATGTCCCGTTAATGGTTTTGCTCTGAAAGCTGGATGTATGTCCCAAAACCCATTAGCTCTAGTCCCTTTATGGATGGCCCTGTCTTTTACCTATAGCTCTAGCTAACTCTTTAAACCTATCCTATGAAGCTTTAGAGATACGTAATTCTTTATTAATTGAACTTACAGACATTCTGATAAGAGTTCTACATGCAAGTGAAACAGTTTTACCAATTTAATGTTTAGTGGCTTCACTTCAGTGTGTTACTGACACCACAGTAAAGAGATAAATGAGTGCTGGAGGGAAACAGGGCCTGTGCCAGTCTGCACTCAGGAATGAATGAGAGCAGCAATAGATGCTTACGTTTTAGGTTTGTATTGACATACTTGTCTGATACCATTAAAACTGGAGCAAGCGGTCCTATTGATGCCTTTTTAACTCAGATTAACAGAATTTTTGGTTGGGAAAGGTCTCTGGAGTTCTTCTAATGGCAACACTAGATAGGGTCAGCTAGGGATTTGTCTAATTATAATCTGGACAACTGGCCAGAATGGAGATCCCATGGATTCCCCTCCTAGTTAAGAGCCACAGTAACTATTAAATTGTTCCTGAGACTGTAAGGATTGCTCTCTCTCTCTTCTACCACTGAGCTCCTAACATTGTTTATGTTTGCTATTGACAAATGCTTCTGTTGAAGTATGTCAGACAGGTAATAAACCATTACAGTCTATCAGACCTCGTGAGATGCTCAAGCATTCTGTCAGAAGCAGTATTTCTAAGTCCTGCTGAAACCAATGAGATTAGAGGGCAGCCTACATATGGCAAGTTTGATTTGTTGAAGTTTAAATCCCCTCCAAAAAGTCAAATTCATAACGCAAGAGGAAAAACAATGCATTAGTGTATTACAGTGCCAAACAGTTTATCTGAATAAATGTTGTGAATTTACAGCTTCTAACTGAAAAGCAATCATAAAGACAAACTATTTTGTTGTATTAGCTTTACTGTGTAGTAGGTACAGACAAAGAAAATTTTCTACTACAAAACTTACCAGGTTTTGGCATGATTGTTTTTCCTTCAAGAGCTATACTTGACTTCTCAATCTTTTCAAAACTTAGCTTAAAAGGAAGTAACGCAACCATAATGCTAAAGTGTTAAAATCATTGATAACATTTCCATCACCATACAACAGACAAAGCAATTTTTTAGCATGCTAGAAAAAAATTAAAAGAATTTCTGACTGATATTTTAAAATAAGATTTTTCTAAAGCTACTGATGCCTCAGAGCTTTTATGATTTTCTTTAGCTTTTTGTAGATTTCAGAAGTAGTTGTGTAGTAAATGTAGATTTTAATGTAGCTGTATAATATTCCACCCTTTAGCACAGTAGTTTACATTTACCCAACCCTACTACCCCATTTCATATCAAACCCCTCTAAATTCCTTTAGCGTGTTTAGTCTTCTTTTCAAGGTAGAATTGTAGAAAACCACCTCTGTTTAAGAACATCATACCCTAGGCCTGAACAACAAGATACCACGACAGATAAAAGCAACCTTCAAGCCCAGAACTTTGGAGGAGCTCCAAGGACTGTACATGCTGGGAAGAAGATGAAGATGAGGAAGATTCCAAAGAGCCCAGACCCAGTTCCCGAAGGGGTGTGTCAGGGGCAGAACTGGGTAGAACCAGGGGAGGGATAAATCTGGGATTGGATGGACCTTATTATAAAGTCATGGAACCACTGCCTGAGTGTGCACGTGTCATGTGTATTCCCTTGGCCTGATTAAATGGCCTGCTCTTTTTATCCTATATACTAAATTGGCGTGGAGTTTTTTTCTACATGGTCTCTTTAGGTTACACTACCAAACTTAACTACCTTCAAATCTCTGAAACAGTCAAGCAACACACATACCTGCAACTGGAATATTCTGTGATACTGAGAGCTGTACATCTCCAGTCCCAGGTGGCATGTCAATTACTAAATAATCCAGTTGACCCCAGTCAACCTAGAAGACAACAATAAAAATGTATATGAAGATTTAAGTGCTTTTATTTAAGGTATTTTGTGTTTTAGTGCAGTCCTTGTTTCCTCTAACGTACAAAAAGTGAACCCAGGACACCTCAAAAAAATAGTACTCCAATGCCCTCTTAGGCACCCTTTCAGCACAGGATCAAACAGGAACGTGCCAAACTAGAGCACTGTGTTTTACATGTTCCCTCAAGTGTTATTTCAACAGCAAAAAAACCATCAACATTTCGCCAGTCCCCTAGTTATTATCATGGAGTATTAGACCCTGTCGGGGCAACACTCATTCCTTTTCATTCAGTTCTTGTATGATGGATGATCTTCTAGGGAAGCACATGCGATGTGAAATCCCAGTGTGCACTCCAGTGAGAAATGGAATTTTTCAAGGCAGACTAATGAAGATGGAAGATTTCAGAGCACTTATAAGAAAAGGGGGATGGGGAAGGATAGTTGCAAATTCTAACTTTAAATGTCTAAATTAGGGAGTCTCAGGCACACCTCCCTTTCCTCATTTTCTATACAAAGGCTTCAGGAACACTAAATGGTGTCTAAGATAGTCACACTAAAAAGGAAATGCCACTTATGTCAACCATGGCGATTACTGCACTTTACTTTTTCCCATTTAATACTGATCTAGGTCATTTATATTATCTATATTTTGTCAACAAAAATTACATATGCCTGGCAGATTTCTAAAAGCAATTAGCATTCATAATTATTTTGGGACTACATAACCCTAAAGAAAGATTATGTATATGTGCAAAAATACACATACTGAAACAATCATGGGATAGAGAATCCAGTTCATCTAAACAAAAGTCTTTTACTTTTTCTTAACTAATCTTGCATGCTTATAATGCCAGATAAATGCCAGCACTTATGAATGCCTCCTTTTCCAGTAAAAATTACTTTGCTCACCTGAAGGCATGAACTTCAAATTTCTATGTTTCCTAATTAAAAATAAACAATTATATAGATGTTAAAAAGTAGTGTTTACAACATGAGTAAATCCACATTCCCTGAAGATTCACAACTAAACACACAGACCTTCTATAAGTAAACTTCATAAATCTCAATATGCAAACCAGGATCTTTCACAATAACCACAACTATTTTGAAAGACTAGGTAGGTATAGACAGTTTTAGCTTTGAAAAAGGACTAAATCAAAGTACTTTCCTTCCCTATGTCTTCATGAAGGCTGGTCCTGGCATCTTTTGTTAAGTCCAAATTTACAAGTACAGTAATCATACACTCCTTCCTTAAATGCTTCTATAGAGTACTATGAGCAAACTGGATTTTTGTTTTCTGCCTTGCAGCAAGATGCAGTCTGGAAACACAACTATGAGTGGCAGAGCACTGCTATTATTCTGACACAGTTTCTAATAACTTTGTCTGCCAAAAACACTTGGTTCTCAGATATATGCTTGGAAAAAAAACTTGGATGTTGATTATTTTTCATCCCTTTTCTCCATGAGCTCAAATTCAAGTCCTTTTAGGTACAGCACTGCCTCATAGAGTAGTAGAAGACAATCCAAATCCCATTCTTTATCAAAGGTAACTGGAATGAAAAATAACCACACTGTTTTTTTCCCCCAAGCTAAAAGCTGTCTGGTTCTGCATATACTTACTGGTCCTAACTTCAAGCTAGCTCCTCTCATTAAACAAAGTGACTTTCTGGGCTTGGCCTAGAGCCATTTTTTTTTCACTCTTAATAGAGGTTTTGCTCCTCCAACCTCTTCAAGCATTAGTTTTCTCATAAGGTTCCATGTGATCCTCCAAAAATACCAAGCATTACAGTTTCCCAAAGAAAATACCTAGACCTATTCTGCTACTTTGTGCAACACTAATGCAGATGACCTCAAACACCAGTGCTCAAAACCTTTTTTTTTTTTTTTGGAACACAAATTACTGCTCAAAAAGTTATGAGTTTACCACACACAGTAGAACAGGAGAAAGGGTAAAGAAATCAGAGGACCCCAGAGCTTTCTGCCTCCAGCTTCCCTAATAAGTGACCCCATAACATCCAGCATGTGCTTTCTGGACTGTCCTACGAGTAGTGATTTTTAATAAAGTTATAAACCTTTGGAAACAGATGTTAATAATGGAATCTTCAGCACATGGTGAATCTCATGACAAATCTCATTGCTAGGCAACAGGAAAAATACTCTGTTAACACATAGTGCAATTAAATTATAATACTTTATTTAATTTATGGTACTGCAAACATCTTAATTCACATATTTTCTTTAAATTCATGGATTGAAAAAAAGAAATGAACTGTCTATCAAATGATAGATATTGTAATACTTATAAATTTCAGCACAGAAAAATGGAGAAGCTACACCACTCCCCCAGCAGCAGTGAAGAGGATGTCTTGACATTGTGCAGAGTAAGAAGATGACAGGCTTTCATCACACAAGTTCAGAAAAGGCCCCAGTAAAGATGCCAAAGTGCACAAGTATTGAGTATATGAGAGAACTACCCTCTACCAACCTCTCTGAGTCATGCCACTGCTGTGGAGCTGGTGAAAGTCAGCACACTAGACTAGAAAACCATTCCTCATTAAAACTAACCTTGCTTTTTATTTTGGATGTAGTCAAGTAGTTATCCTCGCAATTTCATTTTCTTCTTTTTCATTTGTAATTCAGGGCAAGAAGGGAGAGCTGCATTACAACAATACAGCCAATTTCTGGAAAGAACTGAGCTAGTGTTTATGCCCACTACTGAGCAGTATCCTTTGGACATATGGATTTACTTAGGTTGGGAATTCTGCATTTCCTCTTATTCGCTTCTACTCTGCAAGGAGAAGATGAGGAACACTGTGACAGAGTTCAGTTGCTCCTCCATTACCCTCCCATAGAAATAGAGCAGTATGAAAATCTTCTATTAAACAAATTATTTAATGTAATTTGGATAATTTGTTATAGAAGTGTACATTTCATTTAATGGGAAGTGAAATTCCGGGTCTGTTACTAATTTCAGCATATGAGAAAAAACCAGGGGAAAGATATTTTAAATTAAACTTAGAACCGGAACATAAAACCAGAGGACTGGCTTTTTGAAATCTACTATAGCCATTTATTCAACATCAGTAAAATGGAAAGCATAATCAGGCTGTGATATAAAACATTAATTTGAATGCAAATCCTGTTTACATACAACAAATTTACCAAATCAGAACCACTAGTCCTCACGTTCTCAATCAGTTCCAAGAAGTGTGTCTGTATGCAAATGTGGTAAATGAGCTCAGATTAACAGCACATTACAGCAAATGAGTTTGCTTTGCAAGCAATAGGTGGACAGCACCTACAAAACCCTGCCTTGGAGCATCTGAAATCTGTCAGCACCTTTGAATGTACAGAGCTGTTAATATCTTTGCCCCTCTAATGTATATAGTATGTAAAACATTTCAAGCCATAGAAATGTAATTGCATTTTCCTTAAGTATAGCATTCATCTTTTTTAAAAAAGGTTCAACTTGACATTTATTGTTAAGCAATGTAATTAAGTGCCATGTGCTTCTGTGTATTTTCCCTTGCTCAGAAACACCATGAATTCTTCTATGTAAATTACTTTAATCAATCATTCTGTTTACATGACAATCCATAATCAAAACACCAGATACTGCATTTTGAGTAAGGGTTCCAAATAGCAAGTTAAACCCAAGGTAAAGCATAGAGAGAGATGACATGTCTACTGAGGAATGAAGCCTGAGTATCCTCAGTGCATGAGGCAGAAATGATGGAATACTAGCACAGAAGAGAAATTGCTACTTGTGACTTTGAAATAATACTGTTGTTTCGTTGTTTAGTAAATAACAGAAAACATTATTTACTTGTTCTTATTAAGAGGAATACACACAGAGTTTCAATCAAGCATTATGCAGGTGCAAACTTGGCAGCAGCCAGCCAAACTCGGAACAGAAATACATCAAGAGCTATGCTGCAGGCAGCTTAAGGTCTGTTTCTGCCAGATCTGTCCTCCTAACTGCTTCATGTGCATATAAATGATTTAATAGTGCCAAACAGGTGAACAAACTAAAGGTAAGAAATTATGTTCTTAAATGAAGATTTATATAACTGCTCACATGTATTTATAAATAAGATAAAACATTTCTTGAAAATAAAAAGCACATATTTTAAAAAAAACAACAAACATGTATTTTAAAATACTTCCTTGAAAAATTACTAAAAGATTCTGCTTAAACGTACATGGACATTGGGAACAAGTAACTAGCTTCACAAGGTAAGAAAACAGATAATTTAGGAATAGTACAATGACACATGGCATTTTAATCAAAGTTTTTTTATTTATTTTCACAAGTATTTGATAAAGAAAGAAGACATTCCCCAAACACAAACCAGAAAATTTTTAGTCCCTATGGAAACTTTCTCTTTAGTAGTATCATAACAGGATACGCCACGGTGCTTAACACAACTCGACACTTTCTGAACAAAGACAACTGTCCCTTTGACTTGTCCTCTGATGCTTAACTGATCTCAAAGCCTTGCAATCTAACACCATGAAAAACAGACGCACTGCAACAGTTCAGATTCCCTCTACGGTATTTCTGAGCAGTCTGTTCTGCCAGCTTCAGAGAGAAATCGAGGTGAAGCAGAAGAAGAGTTTGCTACAAAGATCTGCATAGGGAGAAGGAAATCCTCCTGTTCATTCTCAATATAGACTAAACGTAACTTTTAGAAATAAGCATCTCGGAAGAATGCCAGAGTTCTGTTCAACTCAACAACTAAAACAGAAACTGGCCTCCTCCTCTTCCTCCCTGATGGCTTTTAATAATGTTAAGAACTGAAGGAAAATGCAGTAACCTGAAGTTTCTGTCTTTATTTGCATAACCCATGCAACTAAAAAACTGCCAGAAGACAACAATACAGAGGTTATGTTCTGCAGGGCCTTCCAGGAGATAGAGAGAAGGCACTCAACACCAAGCTTCTTCAGAAAGCCCAGTCAACATCGTGTCAG